TTATATTAATATTTTTTGTATTCTTATATTTAAAGTAAGAGAAAAAGAGAGACAGAATTCTGATTATAATAAATTACAAGAATTTTTTAATATTATTGGTTTAGAGAGTGTGTAAATTTCTATACTGCAATTTATATTTTATGTAAAGTAGATATAATTCCATTGATATTATAATGTGTTTGTTAATAGAATACAAACAGCGCCTTAATTTATATAACTACGAAAGATGGAACGTATACGTGGTAAACATTGTTCAGGTTTATAAGAATATAAGAATATAATTTATCTCTGTAATTCATTGTTATAATAATATTTCTATAAAAGGAAAAATTAATCCACTATTGAAAAAGATATTTAAAGTCGATTACTCGAAAACATCGATTTTTTTTCCGTAATACTGATTAATTAAATCGATAAATGGTATGTATTATTTTTTATATCGATGAGAATATTTCTCTCATTAAGCGAAAATCATATAATTTGACATCTTAAATATTAATAGTATGTGAATAATTTTATTTGTTTAATTCGAGTTTAATAATAACCTGTTTAATATTGCATAAAAGATTTATTGTATATATACATATATATGTACAACATTATATTATTATACATAAATAATGCTAATAAAAAGATTATAAAAAGTATTATATAAAAATAATTTTGTCTTTAAAGTTTTTAATTTAATTGTATATTGCACAAAATATATGTATATACTTGATTATTTGAAGTATTGCTATACAGTAACAGAATTATAAAATACAATACATTCAACCGTGCTATGTAGAAATTTAATTGGATGATTTCATTGACAATAGCATCAATTTTTTTAAATATAAGAATGACAACTAGAACAGTGCTTAGTGTGATATTAAAACAAATTATTGCTCTTTTCCAAATAATAAGGTTTTAAGGAATTTTTACAGAATCTTTTTCAATTCAAAATTTTATATATGAATATATAATTTATAACTTTTATTGTTCTAAATCATCATGACAAGTTTAATCGCCTGAATACGAGCTTTCCTTTTAAATCCCTTTTCTATAATTACCCTTAAGTACTATATTTTATAAAAAGTGCATTTGTACAATAAAAGTTTGTATGCATTATTTTTCTCAAGACTTTTCTCGAAAGAAGAAGTTTGCATTTCTTTTTTGTATTTGTATTGACATCTGTGATAAGATCAAGCCATTCTCGAGATAAACGCGATTTTCTGCTCTTGTCGACAATATTAATACATTAAGCTATCAGCTTCTGTTGTAAAATTACAGCTTCTAGCGCCAACATTTTTAAAACCAGTTTATTAGTGGACCCGAAATCAACGTTTTGTGCAAAAACTGGTGCCCATTTATGATCATTATCAGTTTTGCCACTTTTTTTTTGCCCATATATGAGCCTAACTAGCGAACTGATTAAACGTTATGTTGCGTTGACTGTCAAAATTAGTAATAGCTGAGGCAAAATCGAAAGTTTTACTCATTTTACTTTTTGTGTTAATAGTGGACGTAAAAGCAAAATATCTATTCTTCACAGCTATGATGATTCATGGAATTTGCAAAAATAGGTGAGTATCTTTCAAGTTACCACGCAAATTTTTAGTTTCCTAAATAATGTATAAAAATATCACAATATCAGTAGTAGGTTTCTTATGCTACGATTATGCGTTTATAAGAGCGTGTAACAACGATAATCGGCATTGTACATTTGTGATTTGCTGGTTCTGCAGCATTTTGTATCATTGTAAATGTCAGTATAGAAGCCTTAATTTATATTTTTGTTATTATTGGCGATTCACGATAGTCTTTGAGTTCATATATAAGAAAAAAAATCTAATTAAAAAATGATACTCTATTTTTGAGATACTTAAAATATAATTGCGCGTGCGTATTATCGCAGGATTTATTCGGGACTGGACTAATAGCTTTGACATGTATAAAATCTCTCTACTAATACTAAATGGTACGTACATAGTACTTAAGCTTTGCAATTTATTTTTATAGACTTTAGAAAATTTGTGTGTATGTATATGTGTGTGTGTGCGTGTGTGTATGTTTGTGCAAGTAAAATGCATAAGAGACGAAGTCTATTCGGTGACAATAAAAAAATTAAGGTAATGAAGAAATGAGAAGCATTATTAAGAAGCTTATTACGAATATGACTCGCATTGATTTAGTTACTCATTATCGATAAATGAGTAAAGAGGAGGTAATAAATTTTTTGTTCTTCATTTTTTCCTTCTTTAATATTCTTTAATATATTAGATTGTTTGCACAAAGTTTGTAACAAAAATTTTACAAAAGAATCAACAGCAATATTTCTATAGTTAGATGCATTTTTAATCATTAAGTTTGCACTGTTTTTTTTTATGAATTTTTATTTTTTGTGTAGCATAAAAATCTTTTTCTTTTAAGATTGTTCTCCCAAAACTATTTGATTAGAGACAAATAAATTAAAATGGTGTTATCAAAATTAGGAATTTTGATAAGAGGAAAAAAAGCAATCTTTAATCTCTCTCTCTCAAAATATTTTGGATAAAAATTATTATTTTAATATTTTAGCTAGTGAGACTAAAAACAAAAAAAAATATGTTGTTTTTGAAATCTTTTTTCTATAATAAAATCTTTATATATTGTCTTATTTATGTGGTAAAAAAATGAAAGAATTAAAATTTTTATATTTATATTTATATTACAAAAAATTTGTTAATGTTTAAAGATTCTATATTTATGATCTTTGTTAACTTGTATTTTGTTTATTCCCATTAGTTTACTTTTTAAAGCAATATTAGGTCATTTTTATTCGTAATTGATTAATTATATATTAAAAAATTCATTTTTGATTATTTTCCATAAAACGTGTCTCATATTATATTTAATTGGTGCTTCTTATCCATCAGAAAGAGTACATTAGATATTTTGTTTACACTCTCAGTTTCTCTCTCGTGCGATTTCATGATTACAGATGGTAATATTTCACTCTTTCTATAGTTAGATGCATTTTTAATCATTAAGTTTGCACTGTTTTTTTTTATGAATTTTTATTTTTTGTGTAGCATAAAAATCTTTTTCTTTTAAGATTGTTCTCCCAAAACTATTTGATTAGAGACAAATAAATTAAAATGGTGTTATCAAAATTAGGAATTTTGATAAGAGGAAAAAAAGCAATCTTTAATCTCTCTCTCTCAAAATATTTTGGATAAAAATTATTATTTTAATATTTTAGCTAGTGAGACTAAAAACAAAAAAAAATATGTTGTTTTTTTGAAATCTTTTTTCTATAATAAAATCTTTATATATTGTCTTATTTATGTGGTAAAAAAATGAAAGAATTAAAATTTTTATATTTATATTTATATTACAAAAAATTTGTTAATGTTTAAAGATTCTATATTTATGATCTTTGTTAACTTGTATTTTGTTTATTCCCATTAGTTTACTTTTTAAAGCAATATTAGGTCATTTTTATTCGTAATTGATTAATTATATATTAAAAAATTCATTTTTGATTATTTTCCATAAAACGTGTCTCATATTATATTTAATTGGTGCTTCTTATCCATCAGAAAGAGTACATTAGATATTTTGTTTACACTCTCAGTTTCTCTCTCGTGCGATTTCATGATTACAGATGGTAATATTTCACTCCGGCCTAAGAATGGGTATTTAATATGATGACACCTTGTGCATAGATAAGAGGGCCTTCGAAATCGTCTTTGGCATGTTCAGTTAGTCGAATACTAGTCTACCTTCGATTATCGTGGAAGTGTATCAAAATCGTTGATGTTTGTTATATTTATCTATCGTGACAAATTCTATTAGGTAAATACTTAAATCTTATCTTTAACCAGGATGTAATAAAAACAGTAGAAGTATTGTTTGATCTGACTAGTTTGATATACGCAAAAAAGAAATTCGTAATATTTCATTATATATAGAGAATGCTAACAGAAATGGGAGAATATACATAATTTTATGTAAAAATATCTTTCTGAAAAGATTGTTTTGTAATTACATGTTATATTAATTATTAATATCAAATTATTCAAAGTACTATGTAATTATTGGAATATGTTTGAACGCTTTATACAAACTTTACAAATTATATTGTCATTCCTCGTTAATTATTGATTACCCGTTGTGAAATTTTTATTTTAATTTGCACAAAAATAAAAAAAGATATTATAGAATTTCTCTCACACATTTTTTCCGTACTTTTAATTTTTTACTAGATATTTCGGGTCATTTTGATTAAACTTTGATTAACTTAATCGGTGATTGATTCAAATTCGCAGAAATACTATATAAGTCTGAATCGGATTTAAACATCACTTTTTGTAAGATCATTGAAACTGTTCTCAATCCAAAGGTTAAAAAATAAATAACTTATTTGACAGATACTTTTGCGGAAGACTATGACTGTAAGATATCAATCTCTTTATCTTATATTTTATTTTTTTTAATTTTAATAATAATATTTAAAATAGAATATATTTATGTAAAATATAATTTTATTTTTATATTTACTTTTTATTAAATATCTTCTACATCTTTTTTATATCTTTTAATATACTCGAATCAATTAGGAAAGCAATTAATTACTACATACACTAAATTTTGACGATTCCAAATTTATCATTTCAAGATTGAAAGAAAACACAGTATGACAGTGACAAAAACAAATAGCACGACGACAAGTGCATCTACAATTGGAAATAAAAAGAAGAGCACAACTATAAAGAAAGAAGAACTGATGAACGAAGAGGATGAAATTACTTTGGAAGATCTGGCTCCAGACGGCGGCTGGGGATGGATGATTGCATTGGCAATGATATTAATTTTCGTTAGTATAATCATAATGACAAACATAATAGTGCTTAGCATAATTTCTAAAACACAAATTACTGCATATCTGTAAATAATATGGAAGGGCTTTTAGATATATTTTCATAATCTTTTTCAACGCAAAAATGAACGATTTTATATAGAGATACATAAGTGATAACTTTTGCTATTTTAGTTTACTACAATGGGTCCAGGATCGTCATTTGGCATAATCTTTGGCGATTTTCTCCAAGATTCCGGACAGGCGGGCATGGCATCAAGTCTTTCCAATTCCTTCTTCATGATCACCTTCTCTATTGCAAGTAAGTGTTTTTATAACATCTCAAACTTGAAAAAGATGTAATAAATTATTTATAAAATTATTACGCGCGATTAAAACTAATATATAAATTTAATAAACACATATTGTATAAAAAATGCATTTGCGTAATAGAGGAATTCCTCAAGACTTCCTCCTTGAGAAATAAGTTTGCATTTGCATCTGTGCATTGACATCTGCGATAAGAAGATTAAGCTTTTCGAAGAAGGTGCGACCTTTTGTTCTTTATGACAGTATCAGTGCATTAAGTTATACTAGCTCTTGCTGTAAATTTGCAAGCACTAATGTCCTTGTACAGAGGATTAAATCGATTCTGTATGTACTGTAGCTTTAATTTGATACACATTTGCAATTCATGTAAATGTAATATAAGTTCAAAATTATATAATTCGAATATAACTGCATTACATTATATAATTCGTATCTATTAATTGATAATTGTTTTATTTTGATATATAGCTATTATTATCATGCCGGATTATGTTTTTGTTTTATAAATAAAATTATAATTATTAAACAAGAGAATTATTTTGAGTAAAGAACTACGTTCTTATTATTAATGGAAATTTTTTTATTTGTAAATAAGTTCAAAGAGATAACATTTTTGTCATAAATTAAATCGAGATTCGTAAACGAGGAATTAAGTAGATGAGTTTAAAATGATCTTTTAAATTTATAAATAATATTTTTTATTTAATTAAATCAAAAAAACTTCTCTTGTTAAATTTTTAGTATAAATTTTTAAGAGATTACATTTTGTTCTCATAATATTACTATATTGTTATTAATAAAATTATGCTTTTTTGTTCCATTTCTGCATGAATTCTACAGAGTAAAATATTTTGTGCAGGTTTGCTGACCAACATCTTGTTGAAAAGATATTCTACAAGACCGGTCGGACTTGTGGGAGCGCTCTTTTTTGCAACATCAGACATCATGCTGGCATTTGTCAGAAATATATACGATTTGGCTTTCCTTTACTTTTTACAAGGTTTTGGATTGGGTCTAATTATTACGGTCTGCAATACGGTTTTCAATGCGTATTTTGTGAAAAAAAGAGCCAAAGTAAGGCAATCACGACTCGTGCTTGAATCCATATATATACTAAATTAAATTAAAAATTAAAAATTCTTAAAAATATATATATATATATACATATTTAAGAATTTTTAATTTCTCAAAAAATGTTCTGTTATTCTTCAGGTGATGAGCGCGGCGCAAGTCATCATCGCATTAGGTGGAATCATTTATCCGACATTAACCGAAAAAATGATGACATTGTATGGTTTTCGCGGTAAGACTCTAAAAATAGAAAAATTCTAAAAAAGTTACAATTATTAGTTTTGCATGATTTGTATTAGGTACCGCAGCGATTATGGGCGCGATAAGTCTTAATGGTATCGTCGGCATGACATTAATGCATCCCGTGGAATGGCACGCCAAAAAGGTGGATGATGTTCGCGCTGAAAAGGCGCGCAAAAAAGAACAAAGATTTCAAGGACTAGCGTTGTCAAATCGTCGTTCAACCATCGATGATATCCACATATCGTCGAAGACTAAATGGAGCAGTCTTCATAGTCTCAAGAAAGAAAGCGGCACAGAAGTGCCCTTATTAATTGAAACGCTTAAGGTAGCATGAAATTTATTGGCCACTGACGTTATTTTGTTACTTAATTTGCAGCTTTTCTAAACGATATTGTAGTTTTCAATTTACGCATTATTTATAATGTAAATTAGCCTTCTGCCCAGAGAGTCGCTTCAATCTCCGAAATCGAGGGTGGAATTCGCGAAAGGGCGAAATCAGTATCTATGCGAGAAAATTTGACGAAGCGTATATCGGCTTTATCGGCATCTAGCTTGGTCAATTTGGCGACTAGCGTTGGTACATTAAGTGATATACGTCAACAATATCTGGAAAAGAGAAGCTGGGAAGAACAAACGAGTAAGGAAATTCAGGAGAAGAAAGAGAATGAGAAACAAAACGACGAGGAAAAACAAGAGGAGAAAAAGTGATCATTATTCTTACAATTATTTGTATGATTAATTTATATGATTTATTATGTCCTCGAAATTTAGGATTGATTAGTACGACTAATAGATTTTATCTTTTTATATTTATAATTTGATTATAAATATAAAATTTTGCAAATTATTTCCTACTATTTTGCTACTTATTGTCTTCTCTCTATACACATTGGAAATGCTATGAAAGATAATTGAAACGCTTAAATTATTTCAAAACTTAAATAATCCTATGTGAAATGCAGAATTTGTATCCCCGCAATTATCTTCAAAGATTATTTCAGTTACTTAAATATTCCAAGCAAGATAATTCCTTGCTTAAATGACAGCTAAAGTGTCTGTCACTCTTCAACACAATAAAAATTACATAAATATTTTAAATAAACAGTATTATCATAATTTTTAATGATGTCAACTATAGCTATCGAAAATCGAACCGAAAACTTTTGTAATTATCTAATATTTATAATTCTGATATATTATACATATATGTAGTTGTTAACGTGCATTTCATTTATATATACATATAAGCTTCGTCCACCGTGCTCATCATGTATGTGCAATACATTATTTCGCTCAAGTGCGGCTGTATGTATTGGCGTATCCTGTAATTAATACTAGCTACGAGGTTTGTCGTTCAACATAATCATCCGATAAAGATCTAAATTGGTTGTTTTCCATTATACAATATTTGTACGTTTCTTGAAACATGCGCAATGTTACCGCGAAATAACTTTCGCACGATCCCTATTGCGCGATTCTGTACAATATATTACACAAATTAATTAAATTATCTTCCCATTTAATTCATAACATCAATTTCATTAAATCATTTATACGTCGACAGATTACTTATTAGCTTGTTTTTCGACACTGAACTCTACAAATACATCAGAATCAAATTTTATTTTTATATATATATATTTTTTTTATATATATATATATATATATATATATATATATATATATATATATATATATATATAACCGATTTATTTTGTTTAAAGATATAAGGCAATTCTGAGGGAACTCTTGGATATGTCATTGGTAAAGAATTGCGGTTTCCTGAACTTATGTTTTGGTGTCAGTTTTGTGTGCACCGCCGACTATGCTTTCTCCTCTTTTCTTCCTCTTATAATGAGCGATGCAGGATACACTAAACGCGACGCTGCGTTAACTATTACGATTAGTGGAATAGCTGAGCTTGTATCAAAATTTTTATTAGCAGTTTTTACATTAATAGTGGATGTAAAAGCGAAATATCTGTTCTTCGTAGCTATGATTGTCATGCAATTCACAAGACTAGGTGAGCATCTTTCCGTCTAATTAAGCAAATATAATAAATAGATTTTTACACGGGAATTTTTAAGTTTCTAAGATAAAGTATCATATAAAAAAATTACGATTTGCAGGTTTTTTATTATACAAGCATACACTTATGGGTGCATTCATTATGACAGCGTTGATTGGTCTCGCGCGTTCGTGGCTGCTGGTTCCGCAGCCTCTAGTCATTATTGAAGATATCAGTATAGAAAAGTTTGCATCGGCTTATGGTATCTTTGGAATTATTAGTGGTTTAGTTACGATAGTCTTCGGCGCTATCGTAGGTAAGATAAAAAAGGGGTAATGCTATTGCTGGTATATCTATGATATAATTAAACATGCATATATTGTCGTAGGATTTATTAAGGATTGGACTGATAGTTTCGATATATATCAAGTCTCTCTACTAGTATTAAATGGTGCGTTTATTATACCTTGGGCTCTACAGTTTATCTTCGTGGATCTGAAAAAACGACGGAAGCAACGTGTATAAGAAACTATTACAAAGTTTTATCCACCGCTCATAGGAAAGAATAAAGACATGTGTCAGGAGTTATTAAAAATTTTTGGTCTAATTAAACGGATATGAATGAGGAGATACAACAATAACCACATAAATTAATATATTGTTCTGCTTGTTTCTTCTTTAATATGTTTAGTATTATTCATCTTTAATATATAAAGAGCACATCAGTGTAGATTTGTTCATATATAAAAATTTTGATATTTTATAGTGTATTTAATCTTTTTGTATATAAAAATTTTAAATATTTTTAAATATAAATCAGATTTAATTTTTTGAACTAATTAAACTGATCATGACGAAGGTATTTATGAAATAATTATGACAGAATATCTTAACTTTAAATCCAACATGTCTTCTACCACATAAATTATGTTTAAGAAAGTATATTGTTATCATACCTATTATTAAGAATCTTAGTATTAGCGAGAATTTATGCAATGATACTAGGTTATTGATTTTAGATTTAAATAATAATTTATTAAATCGTAAAATTTTGACAGGCAATAAAATTGGAGAAATTGTCTTTCTGAATCGTATTACTTTGTGAAAATATTTATCCATTTACTTTTAAAAGAAGACAGTTTCAGAGTGTCTTGAAAAGTGCATTGTTTATCGCTATCGCCGAAAATTGCATCCAATTTTTCATGCACGCGAGCCTGCACAATGAAGATCATCAAGTTAAAAGGAGAGTTACGAACCGCCTTGCGATTAATATCGAAGTTGGACAGTATCGATCTTTTTAATAAGAACAATAGAAAGTAAATGTCGCATAAATTGCAATGACTAGGATACGGTTAAGATATAATTTTAATTTTAACAGATTATTCTAGTTTAATTAATAAATTAATGATTTGTTAAGAAATGGGCGGCGATCCGGTTAAAGGTAAAAAACTGTTCATGAAACTGTGTGTTTCTTGTCATACCACGGAAAAAGATGGTAAACATAAAATAGGTCCCAACCTACATGGCATTATAGGGAAAACATCTGGAAGTATGTGTATTAATGTTTCGTAAGCCCAATTTGTTAACTGATTGTCAGTTAAAAATAAATTCAATAACGTAGAGTATTGTAAATATTGCAAAAATTTTAATAATTTTGTCTAAATATATAATATTATTGATTATCAATTATAATATGTAATTAGTTCAATTTTTTTAGCTGCTCCAGGTTTTAATTTTACAGAAACCATGAAGGATAAAGCCGTTGTATGGGATGAGAAGACTTTAAATGATTATCTCGAATTTCCCAAAAAATTTGTTCCAGGAACAAAAATGGCATTTTATGGTCTTAAGAAGGCCGAAGATCGAAGCGATTTAATTGCCTTTTTAGCTACTTTGAAATAACTTCAGCTTGATAAAATAGTACGATATGATATTACTCGATAAAAACGCAAAAAGCAATTAACATGTCAGTGTATTATTACCATAAAAATTAAAATTATTAGAGAATATATTTTTCTTATATATATTTCAATA